ACAGCACCACCTGTATTGGACGACCACCTGCCTAAAAGACCACTTTTTGAAGGAACCGTGGGTGGTCGCCATAGACAGGTTTTACTGTACTCACTGGCCAATGAATTAGAAACCCCCATGCATATTAAGTAAATGTAATTTTGCAGCTTATATGCAAAACACTTGAATCATGTGTTACCACGTGTTCATTAAGCTCCTATTTAAGAATGCTATTAGTCAGTACTGTCATTAAGTTTATGAAAATAGGAAAAGAAAAGGACTTGACCAAGTTTCAAAAAGGGCTGATTGTGGGTGCCTGTTTTGTAGAGCTGACTGATTTTTTCCAAAGGTGAGATATCCCGAGTGTTAAATTGGTAAAACCTGCGGTCGATGTCTAAAAAAAGTAACTGTGGCTCCAAAACAGTTCATCAGAAACATGACTGGTGTCATCTGAAAAGGCTAGTGTGAGAAAAAAAGGACTTCCTCTCTGCAGCAATTGACAAAAGAATTTAATGAATCCTGTCCCCAACCCATATCTAACAGAACTATGTGCAGAAAACTGAAAAGAATTGGTATGAACAGTTGGGAGCCTATACGAAAACCACCGATTTCTGTGAAGAACTGGAAAATTCCTCTACAGTGGTGCCAAGAGTGCCGTAACTGGACATCCGAGGACTGGAAAAAAGTAATATGGTCAGATGAATCATGATACACCTTATTCTGTACCGACAGTAGGCAGAAGGTTTGAAGGGAGCCCCATGAAGCAATGGACCCTGCTTGCTCATTAACACAACTCAAGGTTATGGTGAGTTATTATTGTATGAAGCATGTTCTGTTGGGACAGATCTGGTCCGCTGATATTCCTGGAAGGTCAGGTGACTTCCAACAAGTACCTGAACATTGTTACCAATCAAGTTCATCCTGCAATGTTGCATTTTTTTCCTGCATGTGACAGCTCTTTCTTTGATGACAACGCTACTGTCCATCGTGCAAGAATTGTTCAGCAGTGGTTCAGCAAGCATGAAGACAACTTACGCTACCAACCCTAATCACTACAGAGCCCAGATCTTAATCCCATCGAGAATGTACGGGACATGTTAGAACAACAGATCTGTCAGCAAAGTTCGCTTCCATCAAATCTACACCAACTACAGGAAAGTTTAGTAAATGCATGGTGTAAATTGGACTTAGAAGCAATTCAGCACCTTGTAAAATCCATGCCAAATTGAGTAAATGATGTAATTCAAGCTAAAGATGTTCCAATAAAATATTAAACTGCTGTTTCTAATTCATTGGCCAGAGAGAGTAAAATTTTCAGCTTTCATTTATTTATGTTACACCTGAAAAAACCACAAAATGTTCAAAAGAAATAATTATTATTTAGCAATTAGGTATAAAAATTCTAAAACTTTTTTCTTATGGTTTACTCTTTGAAATTTTAAAGTTACAACATGTTTTGGTCTTACAGATACAAAAATTAAATTAACAAAATAGTATGCAAAATGCAGATATGTTAATATACCCAGTTTAAAAATTCTGTTTCTATTAGGAATAATGCCAAATAATTGCCAGATTACATTGAGCTATATTAATGCTAGTAATTACTAAATAAATGCCAAATAATTTGGCCTAGATATTTAATTAATAATTAATAGCATTAATGTAGCTTGATGTAATCTGGTAATCATTTGGGCATTAATATAAAAATTGGATTTATGGATGTTTATATTTCTATTAGGAGTATACATATATAAGCCTGGCATAGACTTTCTAAGACACACTGTACAGTAGAATCTTGTTTTACTCATGACTGATATATGCAGATTTATTTTTGCAGATGGCAAATGGTTAGGTTAATTCTTGAATGCAGAAACATAATTCTTACTATTAATGCACAAAATGGCTATTTTTATTATGAAATTCATTGTAGAGCATAATGATAGTATAAAAAATTAAAAGAAATTTTATACAGCTTACAACTCGATAATAAAAATTATTATTAAAACCAGAGTTTTTATTATTATTTTATTATTTTTAATCTTAATTAACTGGCTACCTAATATTAATAAATATTATACTAAACATTAATATTATAATATACACTGGACGACNATAACAGAATCGTACACGTAAGTCAGATTCGTCCTTACTATCAAAGAACCGATTGAGAAGGACAACGTGCAAATGAAGCTACAAACAAAAATAAATGTTACTAATGTCTCTAGAAGATAGAGAAGAATTTTAAACAAAAGCTATTGTTTTGTCTAAAAGCAGTCGTAGCCGAGATGTAAGAAGTTTTTATAGAGAAATCCCATGAGGAGGCGAGAAGAAGAAAAGCAGGGGGCACTAGTTGTTTTTGATAAGACGAAGCAGAAAGATGGCTGCCTAGTCTTTGTACATAGTTAATTATTATAATTAAAGTTAGTTCAGTAGTTTTTTACTGTTGCCTTTGACTTATTTCGAACAATTGTACACTCCATAAACACGAGTCGTACAATAATATAAATTATTTAGTATTTAATTAATTACAAAGCTATATTATATGCTATAACTTGACAGTTTGTTTGGCTTTAACTATAAATTGGGTTTATGAGTTGATGTTTATATACAATAAACTGCTTTTATTCTGGTATTTGGTATTAGATTAATTAAAGATTAATCTGTATATTAATTAGAAGTATTTATTAAAAAATTAAATCTTAATCCATTGAATAATCCAGGCTATAAAAGCAGTAAAGTGTCATTTCTCAAAAACATGAGTAGATAATTAGTTGTTGGTCTGGTGAGCCAGTTGCCTGCCACAGGCCAGTCATATAGTATGAATCAACTTTAACTCATGATTTGAATTTAAAAACAACATATAACCCACCCCATCACAAAACCCTCATCCTTTTCAAATACAGATAACCAAATATAAATAAATATATATAATTATATTTAATTAATAATGTACAGTCCCATCCAAAATGCTGTTCAAATTCTCCATAGATAACTGTCTTATCTGAAGTATATTGACCATAGTGCCAGGAATATCAAATGCAAAGTGCAGTGATAGAAAGAGATAGATTACACTGTAGATTCGTTCATTTTAATGAAAGGGGGAAAGGAATTGGGCTGAAGATGGGACAAGTGTGCAGCTTTAACTGACATGATTAAGAGATAACAAAGCATCTAGATGCAGCTACACTAAATTAAAAAGTTTTACATACGAATCTACTTACTAATGAATGATTAATGGCAAAAATGATTTTTTTTTTAAAATAACAATATTGTAATTAATAATAATAGTAAATATTATCTTTCTTCTGATGAATTTATCTATAGAATCATATACCTGGAAAATTCCTGCACATCTAACAAGATAATTGTAAAGCTATACAATTAATTTAAAAGCCATTGTTAGTATTTGTAAAAATAACTGCAGATATCTTTTATAATATTTTGAAGACAAAGATTTGATGCATATTAGGGTAGGATCGATAGAATAAGTCAAACACAACACTAATGATCTGTCAAGGGGCATGTCTATCAGAAAGACTTTTTGTACCACTAAATAGCCACTATTTAGCTGTTATACATGTAAAGAAAACCCAAAACTTTACATGGTCAGTCCATCAATCAGGCATGAACTTGCAATCAGTGGTGAAGTGGCTACTGGGAAATTCCCAATTTTCCAGTGGACTGTTTGCTTAGTAACCTTTTCTTATTTTAATACAAGTCATATTTAACTTAAGAAAAATATCAAGCCAAGTACAAGTACTGTCTATTGTATTAAATTAAAAAGTAGCCTTTTCTAATTCAAATCATAAGCCACCATAATACAGCTCATATAACCAGACATCTTGGCCCGTGGCAAACATGCAGTTGAAATTTCAAAATGACTCGTCCAATTCAGACATGGACCACCTTGGAATGACCCATGTGAATGAACATTTGGCCTGTGGCAATGTGCATTATGTAACTTCTAATTAGAAAACAACTGAAACGTTTGAAACAAAATTTTTTTGAAATGTAGTAAATACTACTACACAATACTATGCAACACACATTATCATTTAGTATTTCTGGTAAATATTGCTTAAACAAATTGCAGAATGGTGATGATAATATTTCTTGAAAGACACAATATATTAGTACAGCATAGAAGTTGTTTCATTTTGATGAAAACTTTTTGATTTGACAGAAAAAAATTTAATCCCTTCGACAAGCATTTCTTCTCCTGTTAGTATGGAAATGATAACTTGGTGATCATCCAAAGCATTCAGTGCTTGACATGTGTAATGCATGCAAATTGTGACTACTGTGGGAAATCCAATATTTCCTGTAAATATGAACAGCACTTTAGATGGGACTAAACAATTCATTAAGATTATAATGACATATGCATGCATCACACATTATTTTGTATTTTATATTTATTTATTTATTTAATAGTTATTTTCTATTACTGTACTGTATACATTTTATTTAATTATATTAATTACATATTTTATTATAAATTTTTGTGCATTACTGAATAAAATGTTTAGTCATAAGAGTGCTGAAGAAATATTTTTAACTAATAACAAAAACCTTATTTTTAAGGTTCAATAATAAAATATATATTTAGGATTCTAAATTAATATGATTAAATGCTTCTGTTATAATTTTTAAATGATAAAAACATGATATATTTAATTTTATAACACTTCAAAAATTTTTCAGATGTATTTATAGAATAATTTTTTGAATCTTTTTAATGGAAGTATTAAAAATTAGTCATTTCTGAATTACACACTAAAAGATTCAAGAGTATTTTTTTTTTATAAATATTACAGAAAAATAATTTTCATTGCAAAGAATTGCAGATATAATCATTTTGATTATATCTGCAAACTTGCAGACTGAACAAAAATTGCTTTATTTATTCAATTTTTTTTTTATAATAATAAACCTTTTCATCTTTTAGTACAGTTATTTTATGAAATAAATTTATTATTTTAGCTTATAATATTTTTGTTAAATGTTTAATTTATACTCACAATCTTGTATTTTTTGTCTTATTGACAATAACAGCAGTTCCATTTTGATCAACATAATGATCTAATCGAAAAAAAGCTGCAACTCTATGGACTAGCATACGGTTATATGAACTCATTTGTGGAAACTTATGGGATTGCCTTCTGCAAAAAACAGGAAAAAAAATTTAACACCAAATTATAACTTATCAAAATAAATTATGTTATATAAAACTTTGTTTTTAAGTGTACTTTAAAAATATATTAAAATTAATTATTTAAAACTAAAATTCATAACAATATTGATACCTTTTGTTTTAAAATATATGAAATTACAGTATTTGTTAATATTCATGAGAAAAAAATTCATTTAAAATAAATTTTTGTAGTATAGCAAACATTATTTATTTATATTAATAAGCAAAATAGAGAAAAAAATGCTGTTAAAATATTTAAGATAAGTAGAACACAAAATCTGTTGAAATATATACAGTGAAAACTGCTTAGGCGACCACCTGCATTCGACGGGCACCTGCCAAAATGGGCAAAAATTTCTGGCACGGAATAGTTTATCCATAGAGTATTCGTATAAGTTACCTGTATTAAACGACCACCTGTGTAACGCGACCGCGGGCATCGATTTTTGGTCTGAAACAACATACAACACCTGTAATAAGCGACCACTTTCACGAATGTATCTGGTCTAAACTATTGTAAGAACCCATCTCAACAACGTTTCCACCTCCTAATATAATGAATTAGTCTAAACTCTCGTTCGAACCCATCCCGGGCACTTCTCCCACCTTCGAAATTAGGT